TTGTACTAAAATCGGCTCTCTAGCACCTTCTGACTCCTGGTCAACTCGTCAAACCCGTAAGATGGGGACAAATACAATGGACCTTATGGGCTGTGATGTGTAATAATGAACTTAAAATTCTAAGCTCTTGAATTACATTTGAGTATATTTGATTATGTATTATAATGAAGGTGATACTTGCCATAATTAGTAGGAACTATTCTGAGGGATTTGGGACAAAAATTATATTTTGAAAACAATCTACTAAACAAGGAATAGTAGCTGGGTTTCAAATGAACTCCCATATCCTACTTATATGTATGATTTATGTGGTTAAAAAATATAAAAAATATAAATTTAAGAATGGCTTAGGTTCTCCTTTGAGAAAATCAGTTTATTTTAAAAGTTCCTTTGTGATAATACTTTCAAGTTGTTAAATTCGTTTTATAAATTCTTTTGAAAACACACATGTGGTTACATTAATTTAAGAGTTTAGTACAAGACTGTATAATTTATACCCCAAGCCTAAGAGATGGTATGTTAATTTGGCTACTACAAAAGATGAAATGCCCCAAAATTTATTTTCTCATCTTCCTACATCTTCAACACTGAAGAAAAAAAATGAGCTATTAAAAAAAAAATGTCTTTTTAAAAGGAAATGAAAGCAAGTGCTGTCTATCATTTTAAAGTGAACAAAATCAGGATTTGATTCTGACACTCTTTTCTGTCTGGGATTGCACAGGAAAATACAGAGCTGGTTTTGGTCCAGACTTTTTTTTAAATATATAGTGGGACTCTAATTTTTTATAAATACCCTTCTTCATAGAAGCAAAGCACATTCTCAAATGCTAGGAAGGCTTTTAAATGATGAGAGGAATAATTGGGTGACTGTAGCTAGTAAAAGTATTATAAACCATCAACGTTCTCAGATTTTTCTTTCTTATAAAGTCACTGAAAGGTTTTCAATGGAAAATTATGTAAACATATTCTGGAGTGTATATATATACATATCCCTAGATGCTGATCAGTTCACTAGTAAATTTCATCAAATAGTTAATGAACAAACTATTCAAATTCTCTGTACTCATCTAGGAAACACACACAGACGGAATAGATGCTCCTCTTCTTTGGCAAAGGGGTTAGCATTGTGCTAATAGTAAAACCAGACAAGGACATCACAGGATAGGAACACTCTAGACAAGGATCTCTCATGAATATTAAATGCGAAGATTCTCAGGAAAGTATCAGCAACTGAGTCCAAGAATATATATATGTGTGTATATATACATACACACACACATACATACATATTTGTACAATATGACCAAGTGGGAATGTTATAGGTATGCAAGGTTCAAGTGAAATAAGTGAGTCCATCACTTCAATATGCTAAAGAAGAAGAGTCACAAACATTCCAACAGATGTGGAAAAAGCCCTTGGCAAAGTCCAACAGCCTCACTTATGACAAAGTAGGATCAAAGGCAAGGTTCTTCTCTCGCTAACAGCCATCTAAAGACACTGATGGTGCCCACGTTCTGCTGGGTGGCCCCATAGCCAGGAGTACATGGGCAGCACATTGAAGCTGTTAGATTATTAAAAAAAAAAAAAAAAACCTCATGTATCTGGGGCAGGGAAAGCTAAAGTGACTAAGGCTGGAAATGGGGAGGAGATGGTTGGGGTTAAATGTGATTAAAATGTCAAAGAATTAATAAAAATATTTTTCAAATGACACAATTAACCTCACACCTAAAGAGTGAGAAACTAGATGCTTTCTCCCTACAATAGGACAGGAAGACGTCAACTCCCTTCCCACCCCTATTCAACACTCCATTGGAAAGCCCAGCTGGTCCAAAGCAAACCCTGGAATACATCGGTTGTGGTGAGAGAAAGAAGCTATTTGTTTACAAGTGACAATTGTCAATACCAAAGAATGACCCTCTTCACTAAGGAGGGGAAGTAAAACTTCTGAAATAAGTTACCACAATAGTAACAGAAGTAAGATGATTGCTTTCTTACACACCATCATTTATGTCAGCAGGAAAGAGGTAGAAGGGAAAGGGCCGGGTGAGGGATAAGACACTTAGAAGAAGAGCAAGATATTCCAGGCCCATGGATAGAAAGATGCATTGGTGTCAAGAGACTAGTTTGTACTAAGTTGATCTAGAAATACAACATGATCCCAAGTAATGTACTAGACGATCAGTCCACAGCCTGCGGGTTGTGACCCCTTTGGGGGTGAAATGACTCTTTCACAGGGGTTGTCTAAGACCATCAGAAAACACAGATATTTACATTATAGTTCATAACAGTAGCACATTACAGTTATGGAAACAATTTCATGTTTGTGGGTCACCACGATATGAGGAACTGTGTTAAAGGGTCTCAGCATTGGGAAAGCTGGAGCCACTGCTCTAGACATTAACTTTACGAATACTGGCAAACTGATTCCAAGGTGTAAATGAGAAAAAAAGGCTTTGAAAAGACAACTGACACGTTCTGGCTTTAGAACTTAACTGCTGAGCTACAGTGATCAAGACAACATACACTGAAAAGAGAATCAGCATCAGTAGAGAATATGGAGCCAGGAAATGCATATCAGTATGGTCAGTTAATGTATGTCTAAGGAGCAGACGCAGTATAACAGAGAAAAGTCTTTTCATAAGTGACACCAGGACAACTGGATCTCTCCATGTAAAATAGAATGAATCTGCAGTCTCACCTAGGTCTTGCACAAAAACTGATTTGGAGTGTATTGGTGCCCTTAAATGTAAAAAGCAGAGCACCAAGTTGCAAGGACAGTAACATAAGAGGCATCCTTAACCATCTTGGTATTGGCAATGAATTATTGAAACACTATCAAAGGTGTTTTATGAAAATCTGATAAGGCAGATTTCATTAAATGTCAATCTATTTCTGTGAAAAATATTGTCACTAGAAATCCATGTACTAGACAAAAACATTTGTAAAAATATGTATGCATCATCAGCCTTGGAACCAAAATAAATAATTATTTAAACAGTAGAAAAACAACATGATTTAAAAGGAGACAACAGTATTGATCAGTCATATGAAAACATGTTTCACATGAGAACATATACCACTAGGGAAAAAGCAAATGAAAACAAGATACCACTGCTAATCTATGATAATGGCTCCAAAATATAATAACGTGGAATGTTGACTAAAATGTGGAGCAACTGGAATGCCACTGGCGAGAACGGAAAATGGTAGTCATCTTGGAAAGCAGTTTCATGGTTCCTACCAAACTCATCATTATTTTGCATGTAATCCAGAACCATTTATCCAAAATGACTGGAAAATATACAAACACTTGTAGCCCCAGATTGTCAATGTATAAGGAATAAGTGGCTGCAGAGCATTCAGCTCTAAATGGGACAAATGTATCACATCCCTCTCCTACAGAATCAGGGATCATTTCAAAAGAGCTGGCAGAAGCACCCCTACCTGAGGAGCTATTAGTATTGGATAGCTGCTGGAAGAGCTGGGTATCAGGGGTAGGTCCATCATGCTCCGGGGCCAGACCCATTCCCAAGAGTATTTGGGCAATACAAACTATACTTGTAGGGCTTCAAGAGATGGCAGAAGTAGAGAATACACAGTTGGAGATAAGATGGAGACAGTCTGAGAAGGGTTGGGGTGAATATGATAAGAGTTGTGTGAGACTCTTAAAAAACAAAAATATTATTTAAAAATGCATAGTGTAAAATACATTGGTCACTACAAAATCCCCCACTTAAGAAAAAAATGAAACTTTGCCAGGTATCTTTTTGTATTCAGTCCAACAAAATTTCAGTGAAGAAGGCAAAAACAGATGCCATGGTGGTTGTGAGGAGGGCCACATGTGTGTAACGACGTAGAAAGGTCTAGTGACATACATCCGATAGATGCTACACTAGAGCTTTCCAGAATTACAGAGTACTGACTTTAACCCAATGGGCTATATAATTCAGAAGAAAAACACACCTGAAATGATTCTGTTGAAAGTATACATTTGTTAACGTCAATACCTATTTCTATCTCAAAGCCTCCAGATAATATTTCATACATCACTCTGATCTTTTCATTTAATGCTTATGAGTTTTTACCATTAAAGTTCCTTTTTCATTCAGGGTAGGAAGAAAGGCAAGTTGCCGCCCCCAAATGCTAAAGGGATGCTTTGAATTCCATCTGCAGACAGCAGAAACGTCTCTTACTTTGGGGGAATAACAGCTGGGCTCATAAGCCATGAAATGAAGGGCTACGATCTCTAAAGTTAGAACAATGGGCTGAGAGTGTTGAGGAAAAAAATGGAATAAATAGAAGATTAATTGAGACAGGTAAACATATAATGCGTGAGGGTTATTTGTTCCCCAAAGAGCAAACCTGAGAAGGGTTAGAAAGTAAAGAGACAGTGTAGAAAAGGTCCACAGATGGAGGAGCAGAAGTATAAAAAATGCCCACAACAGACGCACTGTTATAGAATCCACAGTATGTCATGGGAGGGGAAGATTGGAGCGGGCTTCTTGGTCTACACAATTCCCCTTTGGTATTATTTGAAATTTTTCTTCTTCTTCCTTTTGCTTTTTTAAACTTTCAGCAATGCACTGCTATCATTGAAAACACTATGTAATGATAGAACTATGAAATTCTAAATATTAGAATTTATTTGGAGATTCCATGTGTGGTATTAAATTGGTCTCATAACTAGTTATCAATAATAATAATGCTATTTCTAAGTATATTCTTAAAGGCTATGGGCTATGTATACTACACCATGAAAACTGAGAATATTGTCCAATAAAGTAATAAAATTGCATGTTTGGGAAGTTTATGTATGTTACATTAAAATTTTCAAACAAATAAACAATAATTAAGGTCGTGCCAAAATTGTGCAGTCCAAAATAGTTAAGTAGCTAGGAAAATTTTTGGAAAGGGTGCAACCCATTGCCTGAGTTAATGACCTCATAAAAATGCAGTTAAGCATAAGAATCAAGCTGAAATAAAGCAAAACACACAATTACCTGCTGTGGGGTCGGTGACCGCCTGACTCGTGATGCCAGAAGGTGGTTCTTGGAGTTGGTAAGTAGCATTGGTGGATGGTGTCGTTGGGCTAGCATTACTGCTTGTCATGTAGTGTGCTGGATACGGGGAGCTGTTATAATACTGGGCATACTGACCCTGGCCAAAGCCGGGATAAGATGGATAGTCCTACCAAATCAAAGCACAGGAGAATTCGTTAGGGAAATCACTGCCCTTCATTTCCTACATTGCAAAGTCATAAATGCTTGTTTATATATCCTTCGTGAGCTCATATAAGCAAGTCCATATTCACTCTTGAGCGCAGACTTGCAATCAAACGTGAGGCAAGAACTAGGCATTCTTCAGAACTTCCATCCTATGCCACAGTGAAAAAATAAAAAAAAAAAAAAACAAAACCATCTGACAACCGTAGACTCACCTAAATGACGGCTATGGAGATTGTATAGAAATGACCACAAAGCTTAAGAAAGCTCTCACAGTTTAATACAAACAATTCTTTCTTTATATAAAGCCTTGCTGCATTCTGAAGTATTTCAGTTGAATTCCCTAATTAAATTACCTGCTGTGAACTGTTAAATCCAGAGGAATTGGTGAGTGAATTATTTCCTGCATATAATCCTGATGACGTGGTAAAACTGCTCCCTGGAAGAGAGTGGAAAGAGAGCTTGCTCAGTGACATTCTCACGGATGCAGGAGAATGTCATTTCCATAAGGCGGCGATTGAGTCAGGCTCCATATTTACATCGGAACCCACCTTCATGAGTAACATTTTTTTTTTTTTTTTTGACCATTTTAGGGGATGGAGAAATGGCTCAGCCGTTAAGCATTCCTGCTCTTCAAGAGTACCCAAATTCAGTTTCCAGAACCCACATCAGTAACTGCAGCTTCAGGGGATCCAAAGCCTCTGGTCTCCTCTGGAAGCAGCTTTCACACTCACATGTGTGCATACACACTCACACACACACACTCACACATACACACACATACACAACTCAATCACACATACACACACTCACACACATAAACATTCACACACATACACACGTATACACACACATACACAGCTCACTCACACATACTCATACACACAGGCACATACACCATACAAATTTAAAATTTAAATATTCAATTTGTACTATGTTATAGTAAAGAAGTTCAAATTTCAGAGTGCATGAGTAATTTAGAAAAAAACTAAGGTCACGGGTATGCACTTGTATGAAAATACCAGCCAATGAGTTTTCCCATTTTAGTCTACAAAACACACTCTTTTCATGAAATATGCAAAACATAAATGGAGTCCTGTCCATGCTCACGAGTTCTTTTCCTTCGTGCATTTTTACAGACATTTGTTCTCCCTCTTGATAGATAGGAAATTGTACTGCTACTTCCAAGGACTTAAAATGCTCCCTGATGTCCTTATTTATGGGGCTTTTATGATAGGATTTCAACAGGCTCTCATTATTTTATTTAATGGGAGAAAAAAATGGCAGCACTTGCGTCTCTTACTACAAAGACTATGTGCACGGGTGGGCTGAGAGCAGCCCTGTCTGTCTGTGCTGGCTGTCCATATTGTTCCACAATCAACAGTAGACAGTGTGCACATGCCTTAGCAGCATCCATCCCTTACATCATCCACTATGGTACTGCCGAGCAGCACCAGACAAAAACAAACAAACAAACAAACAAACAAACAAAAAACCCCACAACTTTCATGATCTCACTAGCAGGCATTTCTAGATTTCTAGAACGATCAAGCTCAGAAATGAACGTGTGTGTGTGTGTGTGTGTGTGTGTGTGTGTGTGTGTGTGTGTGTGCTTCCAACAACTAAGCCGAGCAGCCCCACCCTTTTAAGGGCGCCTCCGTGCAACAGAATAAAGATGGTTAGTGGCGTTGTTGACAAGAGATTTCTTTCATGTTCTTTTATAAAAGTACGTAGTGAAGCAACAAAAATACTTTTAGTTCTTCCATTTTTAAATAATTTAGAACGTGTAAGCTTGTTAAGGAGTATGAAAACAGGGCTGCAGAGGTGACTCACTTGTTGCCAAGCCTGACGACGAGAGTTCAATCCCCAGGACCACATGGTAAAAGACAGACCTGAGTTAGGTGATCTGTCTTCTTACTTCCTCATGGGGGCTGTGCTTCACATCTACCCATGCACATATTATAACTGATTTTATTAAAAAATAAGTTTAAGTTGTTATTTCTGAAGCATTTAATCAGAGTCATGGTGTATCTATGAAGCCAATGGACATTTCTAAATTGTGTTCTGTCATGTTTCTAGGATAAAACAACAAAAGCAATTTTGGGGGAATATATTGCTAAACAACAAAGGTTTAGGTTGAGCAAGGAGAGTCTTCTATGTGAAGGGAGCTCACTGCTCACAAGCGGGCTCAGGGTTAACACAGGCATTGCTTCTCCAGTTATTTGCTTGCTACTAAAGATGTAAATGTTGGCTTAATAATCAGGAAAACAGTTGTAAGGGCGTCCTTTAGGGAGCTGCAGGCAGGCATATAAGTGCACAGAGGTCAGAGGGCAACCTAGGTCATTCCTCAGGCACCTTCCAGCTTTGGCTTGAAGCATGGTCCCTCACTGAGGGACTTTGTCAGGTAGAACAGGCCAGGCAGGATGGTCCCCTGTCGGCCTCCAAGCTCATCATCACTGGGATGACAAGAGACTACCACCTTGCTGATGTTTTATGTGGGTTCTAGGGAACCAAACTTGGGAGCTCACACTTTCTAGGCAGGTGCTTGATGGACAGAGCTCCTCCGAGGCCAGATTAGCATTTTTGATGCATAAATTAAGGGCTGCCTGGACTCCGGTTAGGTCAAGAGGGCTCTTAACATTGTGTGAAGTAGTATTTCAGAAAGAACAATGACCCCATCCCATACATAGAAAAGGTAGGCATTATTAGTGTGCATCCTGTCACACACAGAATTCTCCAATGTATTTATGCATCTTTCCCACTTTTTACTTTTCCAAATGAGAAAAATACTTCATCTCTTTGTATATTGGCAATTCTTTTCTTAGTTATTAAGCATCTATGAACTTTAGAAGCCAGATACAAAATTTGTTGCTTTTATTAACTGAGGAAAAAATTTCCTAGGATAGCTGCAAACGCACTCATCACAGAGACTAATGTCTGAGGTTTCCTCTTTTGTACGTTTTAGAAATAGCCATTCTTCCAAGTCTCTAGAACACCCCTCTTGGCTTAGGAACTTCTTTCACTCTATTAATCCTCCAAACAGTGTGGTTTCAAGAAACAAGAGACAACGTTACTGTTCATTTGCATAGGATGATCATGTACTTATTAAGCAGCAAGTGTTGGGTTCATAACTGATGATTCTGGGAATAAAAGGGTGAGTAAGACATAGACTGGGAACACACAGAACTTATCAGGATGAAGTCTTTTTTTTTTTTTTTTTTTTTTTTTTGTTCTGACACAGGGTCTCTCTACATAGCCTTGGCTAGCCTGTAACTTGCTATGCATACCAGGCTGGCCTCCGACTCAGAAATCTACCTGTTTCTGCCTCTCACGTGCTGGGATTAAAGTGTGCACCATCACACCCATCTTACTGTGGTTTTTAAACACCAAATCGTGTGGGTAGAATTCCTTCTATATTTGTACATTGGAGAACAAGTAATTAATAATGATAGTGATATGTAAAGAAAGATAAAAAATACTAAGCCCTTAAAGATTCCTTCTGAACCTAATCTAAATTTCTTCTGTATAAAAAAGTGCACTCCCCTTAACTTCAGCTACTATATATAGAGTTGATAAGAAAAAAAATACTGTGGGTTATGACCTGTAACTTTAATTTAAAGTGTACATTTTTGGGTTATGACTTGCTACTTTCAGTAAAATGACACATTTTTGGGCAATAAATACTAACCCCTATAATCCCCACTCACCAAGAAAATGAATAAGATATAGAAAATATATTTTCAGATGGATATTTTCATTCCGTAAGTTATTCACTGGAACAAAGTAGAAAAGACCATGGGAGCTATATTGGCACATACAGGCCACTAGGGTAGGGCCAAGTAAATCATAGTTCACTACTCCAAATGGTACCCAAGTGATTTTCCAGACATACGCTGTTTCTAGGACTATGCACTAGCTAGAAGCCAACATCAGTTATAGTCATTTGCAGGCTGAGATTCCATTCTACTCAGTGTGCTGAAGCAGGACTTTAATGACACCCCGGTGGCCTTGGGGACTTAATGCAACTTCCAACAGGATCTCCCTTGCTTCGGGGAGAGGCGTACCTCCTAGAGACTGGGACTCGGGCCATATGCGCTTTACCAGAAGCAGGTCCCAGGGCTGCTCTACCTGGCTTCCCATAACTAGTCCCATAGAACTAGCCCAGGCTGCTAACACTCGCTGTCAGCCATGGTCTTCTCTGCTAACGTCCTTCACTGGCCCAGCACTCTCCTGCTGTCCTGTGGAAGCAGCAGACTGGCTCTTCCTCTAATGAGCGTGACAGATCATCACTAACCCCCACTTGAAAAGTAACTGTTCCTGGCTCCCTGTTGCCCCCAGGAAAAAGTCAAGCTCCTTATGGGGATTACCTATTAGACCTTAGCTGCTCCGGTCCCTCTTCATCTTCTATGCTTGTTTTATCTCTTCCTAGCCCCAGCCCCACAGCATTCCAGCCTCCCTAGTGAGCCGGCATGTTCTCGGAATGCCATCCTGCACCATCCCTCCTCTCTGTGTTCCAATACTGGCCGACCTCTGTCAAACTGTCGCACACGGTCTAGAAACATCCTTCCCGGAAAGCCCCTCTTTAGTCTCCTCCCTCCTCCCTTTCACTTTTCTCTTCATCTACTAATGAGTCTGTCTTTGTAACCCGTGTAAATGCATATGTGTGTGATCCCATCATGTCTACAATTCACGGGTAAACAAACAAGTAATTATGCTTGTTACCCTTTCTCTGTGTGGTGGGAGTATATAAAAGGTTATGCACGTGTTTGAGTTTATAAAAACATATAGAGAGACACAGTCACATCAGAGAAAACTGGTAACTCCCATTTTTCTGTACCATGTTAGAGACCATCCCACCTTCTCCATGATTTATATGCACAATTAGTGTGTGTGTGTGTGTGTGTGTGAGAGAGAGAGAGAACAATTTGTGTCTGTTCCCTCTTTACACGTTGTGGAACCCAGGAATTGAATCAGGTTGCCAGGCTTGGCAGCAAATGCCTTTACTTCTGAGCCATCTTTGTAGGCCACAAAGATGACAGCCTAGGCAGGGTTAATATTTTGATTTCACATAAAATAATGATAGGCTAAGGTACCGCAGCTTTCATGACGCCAAAGTCAACCAGAAGCGTACTTAGCTTGAAAATCTACTCACTGCTCTCCTGCCTCCTTTTTGTCTGGGTTTATGAGGAGTTGGAAATTCACTGACAATGTCCCATGGTGTCCTATATAAGTGACAAAAAACTTGTGGGGCTTCACACCCTCAGGCGCTCATCCTGCACATGCCCAAATCAACTCGCCTCACCCACGAGGGAGGTAGTAACATTTCCTTTTACACTTCCAGGTAACACCCAGAGTTGCAAGGGGTGTGGCAGGGGTGTGACTCCATGTCATCAAGCCATTCAGTTCTAGGCATGAAGCCATTCATGTCCATAGTGCATT